AAGTTGTGCTCACATACCCTCCTTCGAATTCTTGTTGAAGGATTTGGTTCTTGTGAAGAACCTGCTGATTCTACTCCACCCTACACTGTGTCATCTTCAGTGGGAGTAGTCTTTGGAGTTTTCCTTGGGCGTGAACACCTTCGTTGGGAGTTATTGCTACTCCGTATCAGGTATATCCCTTTCCTACCTTTTGGTTTCAGATCTGGTTCGGTTTAGGTTYAGGATTGATCCTTGAAAATGCAGATTTTCTAAAGCAGGGAATGTGATTCTCACATGGGTTTGAAGCCAGTACGACATGGTCCAGATAAAAGCCAACACGCACCAGCCTATCTATGAGAATATAGCCATTGGGACCCCCAATGATGTAGGGTTCGGCTATCCATATGATGGATCTTTCATCCCTTCAATGGTATCAGAGCCATGGTTCAAATCTTGAACCGAAAAAGAACGCCTTCTGCCCATTTGCGCAGGTTCAGATCTGATCTATTTCGGTTCAAGATTTGAACCATGGCTCTGATACCACTGAATGGATGATAGATCCATCATATGGATAGCCGAACCCTACATCATTGGGGGTCCCAATGGATATATTCTCATAGATAGTTTGGTACATGTTGGCTTTTATCTGGACCATGTCGTACTGGCTTCAAACCCATCCTCCCAACAAGGCCTAGGGTTACATGTCGTGGCTAGCCCAACCCTAGTTGTGCGAGGTTGTGTCAGGCCCCAAGTTGCCAGACCAGTTTTATAGCTCTACTCTTTGTATGTGACAACATTCAAAAGGGGTCCTTTCTCCTCTTTCCCTCTCTTCTCTTGCTGTCTGCATCCCTGTTCTTGTTCTCTTATGGCTCATACATTTCTTTTCGAGCAAACATTATCTGTGATTAGGGGTGTCAATGGACCAATCCAAAACCGATCCAAACTTATCAAATCGGGTTTGGACGATTCGTTATATATATTAGATTAGGCCAATCCAAAATAAGTTGGTCCATATTCTTATTGGTCTGAATTGGACCTAAACCAAATTCCCAATAATCTGATCATGAGGCCAAACCCTTGTCCAATTTGAAACCAATCAAAACTGAAGCCAACATAAAAACACTTTTATGAAAGTACTTTTATGTAAGCACTTTTATGAAAGTAATTTTATGAAAAACACTTTTATAAAAGTAATTTTATGAAAGGTAAAGTACTTTTATGGAAAAATTTTTACAAAAAATACTTTTACATGAAAGCACTTTAGTAAAAGCAGTTTTATAAAAGTACTTTTATGAAAGCACTTTTACCAAAGTTTTTTTATAAAATCACTTTTATGAAAGTACTTTTATAATAGTACTTTTACAAAAGCACTTTTATGAAAGCACTTTTGTCAAAGTACTTTTATCAAAGTACTTTACAAAAGTACTTTTACAAAAGCACTTTTAGAAAAGTACTTTTATTTATTCACTTTGGATTGGATTGGACCAAGCTTGATCTTTTTGCATTTTAATTGGGCGATTGGATTGTAGTAGGTGTTRTAGTTTTTTTAATATATTTTCTAAATTTTTTATGTTATTTTGGTGTTTGATTTAATTTGGATTATATATATTAGACCCAATCTGACCTATTTGCATTTTATTTAGACCGGGCTGGACTTGATTTGGACTGAATTTGGTCTAATCCATTTGTAAATGAATCAATATTGGATTGGACTGGATTCGACCAAATCCCATACGTAGAGCAACTCAACTACCTTGCAGTGATTTTTGAACATGCCAGTGTGTTAATCAAGCACCGGTTTTACGTGATGTTTATCTTTCTCACCACACACTGGCGTGTTCAATAATCACTGGGGATCATTGAGTTGTTCTGTGACCCTGCAGGTCGTCGCAGGTAATGTTTTTTCCACTTTGTCTCCTACAACAATATAATGCCAAAACGGTGGCTGACTAACTAGTTTAGACTTTAGAGACCCGCCAAAGAATTCGATCGCCACCACATTTATGTCACTCCATCTCCACTTAAAGCATGGATTTGACTTTTTATCTWTAATTTATCTCTAACGGTTGTTCTATATGATCAGTCATGATCCTAGTTCGTGGGAAGAGTCTACATTTTGAAATTAGTGGCTGCAGTGCTACACCTTCAATTTTCAAATGATGAGTTCCATCTGCAATGACATTTGGTGTATGATTGTCTCTGCAATGCCACTATGCCACTAGCAATCTTGCTTTGCACTTATCTTTAACTGAAGGCCATTGTAGCTATCCGCCATTGGCAATCTTGCAATACAGCAACGAAACGATGACTGCTTAATTAATTGCGTTATTATCTTTCTCTGAGAGAAAAGGTTGACGAAGAATTCTTTTTATTTCCTTCTTTCTTTCTTTTTTCGAAGAATGCATCCTTCCAAAGCAGCCTCCTCCCAGATACATTCTCCAAGGGCAGTCATTAAGGATATTCCCAATGCACAGCTGTAATACCCCGTGGATAGGGGAATGTGGGAATATCCTGTGGATAGCAGATCAGTGGTACTAAGCACTTGGGATCTTCTACTCAGAAATTGTTCCCACATCTCTACCCACACGACATCATGGGAAATCACCCAATGAATAACAAAAAGAGAGAGAATCCCAATGCGCAGCTGTAATGTCCCGTGGGGGTAAGGATGTGGGAACAGCCAGTGGGTAGCAGAAGATCAGTGGAAAACAGAAACAGCAAGCCTCATCGGCACAAACAACCTAGGCAGAAATATTGCACCATGTATGTAAATGCCTAATTTCCATTAAAAGCTGATCTCCACATGCAAAGAGGCCTCAGGCCTCCTAATTAATATTCTGAAAACTGAAACATTAATTTGCATCCGGTGGTCTTTCTCCAAAGAAGAACTTATTTGATACATAATGGAACTCAACAAGACCACAATGTATCAAGCTTCCGGCGTCCAGGAAAAGACCACAGATAACTGTACTGCTAAGTGTGGTTTGGCCAATGTATCTAACTGAGACCTTGTACCGGATGGCACCGACATCCGGTACAACAACAGGCAACAGCAACGCCCACGATAACGCCTCACGCCTGTGGTGATGACCCGACGAAGGCAACTCTCATTCGCCATGCCTCTTGCTTATTTTTCTTCTTCCACCTTTAACACTCTCTCATTCTCTCGATTTTCCCAAATCCCAACTGCCATTGTGAAGTTTTGGAAGGATGATTCTCTGCAGTGCCATTGTAGCGACCCACCATTAGCAATCTTGCAATATGCAAACTGTTACAAAGCAATGTTGATCGCTAACACTGATGACTGTTGGAGACACACCGGTCTTTAGGTGACCATTAACTAGCAGTGGGGGTGCTCATAAGAAACCGAATCAAGAAAATTGAACAAAAAAAAATGTGGTTAACCGAATTGACCGATATATAGTATGTTTATAATTACAAATATTAAAAAGCAAAGAACTGATCATCCGGTTAAGTGGTGATATTGGTTTTGGTTTCGGTTCAAAGAATTGCAAAACCCAATGATATTGGTTTGGTTTTAAAAAATAGCCAACCGTGAACACCCTTAACCAGCAGATCGAGAGTCCAACCTTTTCATTTTCCTTTTACTGTTAAATAGGAAAAATTGAAACATGACAATCGACAAGAGACGGTAATATGACCTCTCAGGGTCACTCTAGTTATTACTCTAATTTAGGGCCCAGATGGACAACTTCTGTTAATGGTCATTAACGGTGATATAACAAACAGAAGCTAAGTTTTAAGTTACACCTGTAAGTCTGTAACCTGTTCACGGAACTTTACATTGTTTTGGGGTCTCTACATATTTTGATATAAAAAAGCTGCATGGGGTCTCTACATATCTTGAAAAGTTAAAAGAGAGATAGAAAAAAAGTTTAGTTTTAAAATAACAACCCTAAAATAAAGAATGCCCGATTTAAATACAAAGTGGATCATCCCTAATGAAAATGTTGGATTTCCATCAGATGACACACAAAATAAAAAAGAAACAATAAGGAAGATCATGCAAATGTAAATAAAATCTACAGGCCTTCTTGTCTTCTTGCTGCATGGGTTGAAAACGTATGAATTCTATCCTGCCTGGCAAGGTAACTGGTGGACGCATTACTCTCATACTGCGTTTGATGTGGCAGGAACAGACAAAGGGATAAGTCCAGACTATTATGTATGAAATATCCCCCAAACCAGGTGCCAACTATTAAAAATTAAGACGCCAAAAAAAGTTTTCAAAATTAAGATGGGCAGAAGAATGGATAACATATTTTATGAGATGCATTGGTTTTGTACAAGAAAATCCTCAGACATACACATGACATTCTATTTTTTTTTTTCTTTTTAAGTATCCAAAATATCAGTATCCACTCATACAAGAAATGAGTAGTTAATTCTATTTTTTAAAAAAAAAAGTCAACTTTAGACACAAGGCTACTTATAAAAAAAAGCATCCACTTCATAGATGTAGGGCCCATGTTAATCTTTGTAATTCAAATAAAAAGTCATTATAAAGACCTTTAAATTACAAATTAAACCTATTTTAATTAATTAAATTAAATATAATTACTGGGTACATAGTGAGCTCAAACAAAATGCTATTAGTACTAAAAAACAAAATGATGCGATGGTGTAGTTGCTAGTATGGGATTCATTCTCCAGTCAAATATGACGAGGGTTACCAATGGCGCAAAAATCCCTACACAGCACCACGATTCTAGCAAGAACGGTAATAGAAATTATGTAAAAGTCATCAAGTGTTCGCCTAGGGTGATACCTACAAAAACAAATGTTCCATTTGATAGAAAATAAGCAACCTCATATCAGTGATATAATTGGCCATCTCCATTTCAAATCATTGACAGACTCTGAGAGCAATGTAGAGTCGGAGATACAACCCTTACTTTCCTCAGATTAACAATTTGCAATTAGGAGCTTGACAGGAACAGTTGGCCTTTGTGGATGACACATCAATTTCTAACAAGTAACATCTGCCCAGAGACATCATATATTCTTTTTCAGAACCATCACCGATTGATTATCTAATTATAATTGCATCAAATACAATGGTTCACGCCAGTCTATTTACACGAGTTTTGTTGCAAACCCAAGAGGAATGACCAATGTGATTGATTCAAAATGTTCATCAATACTTAAAACCATTATTGGGAAATCAAACCAGGACCTTACATCATAATTTGACTGCTCAGACAAGCTTAGCTTGCAGCTTTCAAGTGCAGGAAGGCAGTATTATAGGGATGTCATCTATTCTGTTATTTACACTTTCTCTTCTCCTTCTTCATCTTCAATGTCATCCATCCCAACCCAACGGGTGAAAGCAAAAAGGAACTCCTTGAAGGTGACCATTCCATTCTTATCCCAGTCCATCTCTTCTGTGGAGACCAAATTACTAGGATCAGATGAGTTTAGCAATAACCAAATCATGAAGCCAAAAAAAAAAAAAAGAAAGAGTTTAGCAATAACAAGATAATTGATACTTGGTTAGGTTAGGTAGCCTGCAAGCTTCATGTAAACTACTGAGATCACCATTATATTACTTACAAAATAAGGAATTTGGGACTCTTGCTCGAATCTTGGGCCACATGGAATAAATCAAACAACCTTCAAGGGAATGAACAAAATTGAAGAGTTCTAGGTTGGTTGACAGGAATACAAATCCCTCAAGGGTCACCTAGAGTGCCAAAGTTCTCATTTTTCAGTCAATAAAATATATAGATGGAAAAGATATAACATGGAAGGGCCTGGCAACCGATTGACTCTATCTCAGCAAATCTATGACCACAAAAAACCTGACACATCAAAAACTATGGCGCTGGCCATGCTGACACTTTACACTTTGGCACTGTAGTTGTGAAACACTGTCAGTGCTCCAAATAGTCAAAAAAAAAAAAGAAAAAAAAAACTATTGGAGCTTATCACTCCTAGAAATGTATAGTGAAGAAAATCCAATAAGGTACGAATATATTATTTTTTATATTTTCTTTCAATTTATTATTTTTATGTATTTAAATTATTTATGTTATTTAAATTATAACTGACTTTGTCTCTGTGCACGCACACACACACACACATGCTCATTTAGGGAATTAGTCTGGCTAGTCAGGTAGTTTGATGAGTTTCCTTAAACGACCTGAATTCTTTCATTTGAAACTTTAGTTGATAGCATGCAGGTCTTGGTGGCTTCTATTCATGAGGTAAGCTTCATCCCGAAAACACTTGCCAAGTTTCCACAATAAGCACTTCTTTTTGGCAACATTTACATTATAAAATTAGAACTCTGAAGTAATCAAATAATCACCATACAAGGTGGTGGTTTGTGTGTGTGTGTGTGTGTGT